ACAGAAGGACGGACCAACGGACGGACGGACGGACCAACGGACGGACGCCTGGTCGATCCCATAGGCTCACTGTGTGAGCCAAAAACTATGGTTTTATCGCTAATACTGTTAATTTGAAAAACGGGTCCATAACATGTAATGATGACAATGAAAATGTTGAAATTAGGTACGCCAATGAAGTGAATTCAGTTTTGATTTTGAATCAACATTTTATTTATTTATTATTTATTATTTATTTAGAATCTTCATCTTTGAAACGATGGCACACTAAAATTAAAATATTATAGGTGCGTCTAAAACATGTTCCAGTATTTAAAACAAAGTACCAAACATTAGATGTGTGGGATTAAGTCACACTTGTATCTCTAGGCTTGTATACTTTACTTAAAAATGTTTTTACAATCTTGTCAACATTTCTAAAATGATCATGCCCCCATAATAAAAATACATCATCACCTAAAATAAAACCAAGTTTCTTTTCTGAACTTGCAGAGATAAAATAGGAAAATATAATTTCATTACATTTCTGTCTTATACTAAAATAAAGTGATTGGCGCTCATCATTAAAATGAATACATTCCAAAATTCTGTGTTGAACAGTGTCCTTCTTTTTTGCATCACAGAATGAACAAAATCCATCACTCATGCGCCAAGATTCATAATTGGTTTCTAATGCAAAAATGTTAGCTCGGGCCATGAACTTCAGTTTGCACCCGTAAAAGTCATATTCATTCTTCAGATAATTTTCTAGATATGGATGATTTTTGAAACTGGAATAAAGTGATAGTGAACTATATTTTGAAACTTCAGAGTGGAATTTTACATCATTTTCACATTTTCGAATCTTAAGGTATGATGCATACCAATCATCATCATTTCTAAAGATGACATCATCAAGACCTCTATCACTTAATAACTTATGAATGGTTGAGATGTACTTCCACGGGCCTTCTTTGTTTTCAGTAAATTGGATCATTAGTGCATTTAGAATCTTGTGTGGTAGGGATGATGGTGGTATTTTAAATTTGAGGTACCTAAAGAAATCTATAGAACGTTTTTCAGCAAGAAAGTCAATTGGGAACCAACCAAGGTCACCTAATAATGCTGAACTGGCTGGCTTGCCCCTTAGCTGAAACACTGCTTGCCCAACCTTATATTGGATAGATTCAAGGGTTTTCCTGCTTTCATTTGTTAAAGCTGACCAAATCGGGGAACTGTGAAGTAAGGCAGGTTCTATCATGGACTTATATATTGTTGAACCATATTCAATTCGTTTCACATTACAATGCTTAGTGAGGGTCGATGCTGTGTAATTAATCATCTTACGTGCTTGGAATGGAATGAATCTTTAAGGTTACTATGGAACATATATCCAAGGTATTTATATTCCCTGACTTCGCTCAGTTTTAAGTCGCCTAGTTTCCATACCCTGTCAGTGTCTACCCTTTTCCCTATAATCATGACTTTTGACTTCTTACTGCTAAATTTAAATCCCCATTTTATGCCAAAATTATAAACTTTACTTAACAACTCCTTTAATCCATTCTCATCTTTTGCTAAAAGAACAATGTCATCTGCGAATAATAATGTGGGGATGTGGGACCCTTCAAATGGAATGCCAAGACCTGTGGACATTAAAGTATCTTCCAAATCAGACATAACTACTGAAAATAATGTAGGTGAGAGAATACACCCTTGTTTAACACCTGTGTTGGAATCAAACTGATCAGTAGAAATATTACCAAACAGGACACTGCTATGGACATTAGAGTAAAGGTGTTTTAACGTTCTCCAAAGTTTACCCTGGATTCCTCGTTCCCAAAGCTTTATGAAGAGCATATCCCTGTCTAATACATCAAAGGCCTTCGAGATATCAATAAATGACAAGTACGTTTTCAACCTATTTGACTTTCTCATACTACATAATCCTTTCAATGTGAATATGTGGTTTTCTAAGCGCTTACTCTTTTGAAAGGCACCTTGTAAGTGTCCAAGGAGGTTATGACTTTGCAAATAAGACATGATTTTAGATTCTAAGATGCTGGAAAATACTTTGTATACATTTGATGTAATGGTTATTCCTCGATAGTTATCAAGGATTTCACGGTCATTATCTTTATGAAGGGGTTTGAGAATACCATATTTCCATTCATCGGGAATTGTTTCATGTATTTTTATCAGCCTAAAGAGGTCAAAAAGGGGCTTGATGAGAAAATCTTTAGCCTGCTTAATAAACTCATCGTAAAACTTAATAGTCTTACCTTTTCAGCCAGGCCATTAATTTGAAACTTCGGATTTTTACTTTTGATTCCTAGATTTTTCCAATACTCCAGAATGGTGGCTTGAACCTCTTTAGGGTCAGTGATCAGAATTTCAGGATTATTTGGGTCTTTAATAACATAATATATTGTAACTCTAAAGAAACACTCGATCAGATCATTGAATTTCAAGTCCTGGATGGGTAGTTTGCTTTTTTTATGCAGGTCAACCTGATAACGTTTTGATTGGTCAATCAGCCTGAAGTCACACGTTGTGTCCATGTCCATATTTTCAATCAATATGGTTTTGCAATACCCTTAGGTAGCCCAGGTATTATGGGAATCTCGGAACCGCTGAATAACTTAGCATAATATCAGCGATGATACATTGGATTGTACAAGGTGGTAATAATTCAAGATCAGATAAGTAAATAAATACCGACTTGGGCAAGGCTACAAGTTTCAGAGCCATTAACATTCCTTGAAAGTGACAATGAGCAGCCAACAGATGGACCATCCGTAAATCTTGATGATTTTGTCAGCTCAGCTGAACGAGCCTCCAGATTCCTTGAAACAAATGACCATATTTCAAGAATAATATTATCTATTTACAATTTTTTAAAATCGTGGTAAGTGGAATCTTTCCAATTACCAATATAGCATTATTATTGTTTTTGGACACTGTGGATTAAAATATTAAAAATACACACATTCAAAATGATTCATTTGAAACCTAGCCAGTCTGTTCAATGAATCCAATCAGAACGTCTACTAATCCACATAATACATCATAATTAAATTGTTTTTTAAAGCGGATATTTCATACCATTACCCAAAAAATATTATAGAACGCATTGTATTTGTATTTTACTTCACACAGACATATTTGTGTATGTGAAATAATTATATTACTTGAATTTTGTATTCCCATTACAAGGTAAACCTATGGCAAATTATACATACCTTCTCACAGCTATGAGCGAGATGATAAAACTGGTCGAGTGAAATCGTTTGAGTTATCTATTCTCCGTAAAAATATCAGAGAATGTGTGTTTATAGCGTAGCTTTGGTTTTGTAAATCAATGAAGTATGATATACACGGATGAGTAAATATAGATTACTTAAACAGAAGTGCAAAATTCTTCCATTGAAAAGTACAGAGGCGGGCACTCACGAAACATTACATGTGCCTGACTGCATCCACATAGATCGACTAGCCACAGTGTGTCTAGGGGCATTATTCTCGCATGGGTGCGAGAGGTCCCGGGTTCAACCTCTGGACACCCTTCTCTTTAGATTTCTTTATAAAAGTAATTAGTCTGCAGAGTCTGATACAAAAATGAGCATGTTACCATTTACATGTCGGCTCTTCTCAGGGCATGATTCTCGCTTATGCCATACCTTTTAATTTCAATATATCAAATTATTTTTTTGCTGATTCAGATACAAAAATGAGCAAAAATTCATGTCATCATGGTGGCTCGTTGGCTACGGGCATGATTCTCGCTTAGGGTGCGACAGGTCCTTCGTTCAACTCCCGGCGAGCCCTGACCTTTTAATTTCAATATAACAAAATATTGATTTGCTGATTCAGATACAAAAACGAGCATAATGTCTTTCACACCGGATTCAATTTTGATGAGCCCGTCCTTTTTGATTTCAATATAACATATTATTGTTTTGCTGTTTCAGTCACAAAAATTAGCAAAAATTCGCATTATCATGGCGGCTCGTTGGTCTAGGGGCATGATTCTCGCTTTGGGTGCGAGAGGTCCCGGGTTCAACTCCCGGACGAGCCCTCAATTTTAATATCAAACTTTTCTTTTACTATTTCAGAATTGATCTCATCATTGTGGCTTGTTGGTTTAAGGGCATGATTCTCCTGACGAGCCCTCTCTTTTGATTTCACTATAAAAACAATTGGTCTGCTGAGTCTGATACAGAAATGAACAATACCGTGTGTGTTATCTTGGTTGCTCAATGGGCTTGGGCATGATTCTCGCTTTAGGTGCGAGAAGTCCAAGATTCAAATCCTTAGACCTTAACTTCTAACTTCCAGATGTGCGTACTAGTTTTTTGAAAATATCAATATTTCTTTCTGAAATTAGCTTCTTATAAACCTCTGAAATTAACCTCTTGATCCATCCGTGCTTTTGCATGGCTCTGGCTTTGGGTGCGAGAGGTCCCAGATCCACTTTCTGGCCAGTTTTTTCTTGAAATTCTTTATCAGTTTCAATGTAAGTTGGGGTATGAACCTTGGATAGGGTCATTAAAATTGACCGCAACTGATTTGTTTACTTTAGTATAAAATTTAAATTGTACCTTTCATCAAAATATCAAAATTCAAAATTCGATTTTCTGTTAGCAAAAATAATGATGAACTCATATATATTATACAATGCCCAAATATAAAGCTGGTAATTAAGACAGGTTGAAAGAAACTTAGCCAACATTTCACTGATACTGCTATATCAACAAGGCAACTAAGACTAAACGCTATCATCAAAGAGGGTGGTAGACCAATTGAACTATAGATAGAACTATAGATCAAATATAATCCAAGTTAAAGGACTTGTTACATTATATTATTACTAAGAATCCCTGACACTATATAACTGTAAAATTTAGGATATATAGGTTGGAAAAAGTGCCGTTTTTGGCCCACCCTGTAGATGACAAATTCTTGGCGTGTTGAATCTTAAAACACGATTTTGAGGCGATGACAGAAATATATGTACTTACTAATGTGGTGAGAAGATAATGGTAGTATTGTGTCATCATATTTATTTGCTGAGCCTGAAAATAATCAATTCAAACTTAAATGCAAAATATGCATTAACATTAAGGCAGATATAAGATGCATTCTACAGATATGATTTCTTACATGCATTTTTGAATTTACCACTGCGCGAACCTCTGAAAATAATGTTTTTGTGGTGTATTATTCTATAACACGGAAATATAGTTTGTATTATTGGCGTTCTGTGTTGCAGTTTCTTACCTGTTTTAAAATGTCTTGTACTTTAGTGTAATCACAATCTATAACTATACGTGACTCGGCCCTCTTTTTAATCTCTTTTAAAATAGGCCGATAATCTGGTTTACTATCGGGTCTTGTGAAAGCAGTGTCTATTTTGCGCACTGTGATTGAAAGTTGACTTTCAGAGGGGGCGCGTAATAACTCCTGCAGACGGATGAGTCCTGGAAAAACAATGTCCACTATAGTAACACTGAACTAAATCAGTGGACTTATAACAATTATACTACTTGTGAATACAACGTATACACTGTCCAGTCATCCTTTTCAATTGGCAATATACCAACAGAAGATAAGTGAAATGTATTTTTGAAAAATAGTGCAAATGTTTTTCTTTAGATTTTACTCTCTTTTGTTAAATAATAAACATTAATTACCGTCATTTCCTTCATATAGGATAGTGCAAGAGGTCCATCCTAATTGTTTTATTATGTCAATATATGCTTTACTTAATGCAGAATAATGAGGGTAGAGATTTATTGATCTAAATTCGGATTGTTCTCTGAAGTCCCATCTTGTTTCTACATGAGGTATTTCCATCACTTCACAAACTGACTGCACATGCGCAGCGGAAATAGATGACATAGGTCCAAATATGGCAGCTATTCCTCCTTTCATGAGATGACAAACTGAAAGGTACATTGGCATATTCAAAATAGATACACATGGGGTATACATAATTTGATTATGGTGGACAATTATAATTAAAACCAGTGGAACAAAATGACCAAGCATTTTGATGCATGTTATTTCTACTTATACCCATGATATTTGCCATTCCAAATTAAGATCTTCATATATTCCATATCTTATCGAATGGTGAAGTATTCCCTTGAATAATGTAAGCCTGTGTGTTATACATTTTTGAAAATAGGCATACCACGGTGGAATGCGATACAAAAGATACTGAATAAGAAGAAAGCTGTTCTCTATATCTGCTAATACAACATTGAACTTATACTTCTTATCCCCCTATACCTCTTTATTACATCACTGGGTTTGGGTGGATTAATCTATCATTATGAAGCTCAAAATAACTTTCATATACAGGTCATTTTTTATCAGCTGTAACCAAAGCCTGTTATAAGGCATTAAATGATAAAACAAATGTAGCCCATTGAGGATTTGAATCGATCGTAGCCTCCTAATCACCTTGAGGTCTATGCTTTTAGCTAACAACCGTGTAGATAAGAAAAAATCATTAGTAAATGAAAATCGACAATGTGTAGTAATTGCCCCTAACTTTCTACAAATAAAAGCACAATAACATGAAATGTTTACTCTCTCATAAAGCAAAGTGACGAAGCCAGTAGTCACACCCTGAGTGTACATCGTTGATATATTTCCCAACCTACAAATGTGTATTTTGTCGAAAGTGGATGTTGCTCCCAGTCTAAATTACCTTTGAAGAAAATAAGCTGATTGTCCCATATGTGTGTGTGTTGGGGGGGGGGGTGAAACCCAAAGTTTTGCATCTTCATTAATAGATATCCAGTGAAATATAGTGCTTTTGATCCAAGCCTATTTTATTTTGATAAACGAACCATTCTACTTTACACCTACATTCTTTAGAAGCGTGAAAACTGTCATCCTCGTCTACTTCTCTGACCTCAGGAACTAGTGTTGTGTGTGGCAGAATATCATATCTTTTGTTTATTCTGTCCACTGCTTGCTGGAAGGCCATCTTTTGTCCCTGGTACTTAGGTTCAAATAGCCCAGCTGAAAGGAGAGTGCAAATGCTATCTGTCATTTAACACTGGTATGACAGAGTATTTGAGAAGTCAATTTGAGAATTACCATGACAATGGACAGAAACAAATCATAAGTTGAAACTGAAGAAGTAAAGCACGAGTACGAGGGTTGTCCATAAAATTTTGAAATATTTAATAACTGCACTACTACATCGTTACTCATTAGAATATAAGTATATAATTATCATCTTATGACAATAAGGAAGAGAAATACTTGAAAGACGTTAAGTAAAAATCTCGGATGACTGAAATTCTGAAAATTATATAGTTCACTGTCAACAGTACATGTTTTCACTTGTGAGAAATGTCGATAAACTGATCAATGATCCAAAATTATGAGCAACAATGTATAATGAGATCAAATAGCACAGCAATTCAGATCTCGAGGTCTCGACTATTCCTTATAGCTGAATATGTTGGACCGTTATCCACTATGATACATTAGTCTGTTGGAAATGTTAGGGTGAATGAACATATTATTTGGATGACATACTAAGTCAACCCAATATGGATCAACAGTAAATCTTAACATTATGAGTTTTTTTTACAAGAGTGTTTTATCTCTCACCATCAAGTTCTATATATCAGCAGTTGTTACTAGAAGATCGTTTATTAAAGGAAATTGGGAAATTGAAAAATAATAGTCGGTGCAAACACTCATTTCCCCTGACAATACTAATAGAGCCGTGAGCTCTAAGGGTTGCTGGAACAATTCTTTAATCCAGAATTATGAGGAGACTTTGCAAGCTGTAATAATGGTTCAAATGCAATAGAATATGCCTAGAGGTTTACACTAGTTATTTCAACATTTACATATCTGTAATCCTGAGTGTGATAGTAACCTATTCAATACCATACTCGTAGTGCTTTTTTACAGATTTCGAAATTTAACTATTTAAATATAATGTTGATTTTTGTGATATTAGTGAAAATAAACTACTTTCACTGATTTTAATAATATTTGTTTAGAAAGATTTGATAAGTACGAGTTGTACGAGTGAGCAATTTGGTGACGTATATATTTGTTAAGTAGTTAAAATAGTGAGATAGTAAAGCCAGTTGAAAATAACAACAATTAGCCTTTATGAATAATAAGACCCCTATCGGACCGAGATCAAATGAAATACATACTTTTCAAATAAATACAAACATCAAAATGATAAATTTACTTAAAGGTTGGATACCATGATCAAAATATATATTTTAAAGCAGCCAAAATAAGGTATTCATTGAAGTTTTCTGGGTCCCCATACATCTGTACTGTGGCTTTCAAAAATTCAAATTCGCCTACACTCTATATCTAGTGTATAACCAGAGAACATTTCTTTTGCCTCAAAGTAACTTACCATTATATTCCACCCAAAAATCTATTAAAGGAGATGTCAGCTATATTTAATCATATGTTGTTAAGATCTCAGTCAATAGATGTATCAAACGATTAATGTGTCAGTGTGAACTGTGACCCCAATAGAGATTTATGGCATCTACATGTAACATGTCTAGGATGTTGTGCAATAACAGAACCAAAACAATAAGACGAGGCTACATAAGATCGATATGCACCAGTGGACATCGTTAACAAAATCATATCAATGCAATGTAATAGCATTTATTCTGACATATAAACAAGACTACTACATTTTTGTCTCTAGATGTATAATCTCAATTAACACAAAACGACAAAGGGTGCAAAACTACGACGTGTACATGCACGTCTTTTTATGGTACACAGTGCGTGTTGGGGTGAACTCTTGTTCCTGAACCTGTGTTTAGCACTATGTACATGGATGAATCGGAACATGTTCATGTGACAATACTTAAAATTTTATGATTTCCTTACAAGACATGGAAAAATAAAGAAATGTCTTGGTTGCCAGACCTAAAAGTAAAATACAAACCTTCCACTTTATATGTACAGTATACAGTCCTATATAAATGCCCCTTAACTGTTCTCATATATTTGGTAAGACAAAGCCGACAGGAATCGTTTCATTGCAAGTTGCTTAGCTAAAATGGTTAATAGAAAGATAAAGAGGTTCTTACCTATTCGAACTGTTGATGGTAGCGTCAACGCTACATCTAATACTGTCATCAGCCATACCAGCGTCCCAACATTAAGACCATCCACATTCATGATGGAAGACTGAGAATAAGTATCTATGTAATTGCTAAGTCATTTTACGTCTGTTTTGTAACTTCATGCAACCATGCCTGGAATGTAAAATTACATGGATAAGTATACCATTATACAAAAGTAGTACAGTCATTGAAACTAAATATAGCAGACTGCAGCATAATATATTATGAAATATTAGTGCAATATACGTATATTATACACACATGAATTATTTGTATTTTGACCTTATGATTGTGATCTGTTATCATAGTCTATAAGAATCCGCAAGCCATAACTACAAGTACGTTTATACATACGACAACCATGGACCCAATAATGATAAACCTATTTAATTCTAATATTTCAAATACTGCATTCTTCCCAACCTTATTTGACTTATTTTCAATTTTATATAGTATCAAATACAAAACATCTCGAGTAAATTCCTTCAATCAATACCCAATATTCTCAAATGACATAAATATACTTGTTGTTCTTTGTCCATCCCATCCAGAGTCAGATAATAAACAACCGACCCAAAGAGGGCTGACTCAAGACTGTAGAGCTACGGGCATATACTTCTGAAGGTGTTTTAAGTTTTCAATTTTGCATAGCAAAAATAGAATAGTATCTTCTTCTATATGACTTTCAAATGACTTACTTTATCATTTCACACTAAGGTACTCTCAGGTGATTTAAAAAAACAAAACTTATTTGTAATGAACTGTTTGATGTTTATAAAGTGCCAACTGCTTTTGATATATGATTGTATACTGAAAAGAAACGTGATACAAATAGTGTTCTTAATAGTACCGACATGACCAGGACACAGCTTTGTTGTATACTGAAAAGAAACGTGATACAAATAGTGTTCTTAATAGTACCAACATGACTACTAGGACACAGCTTTGTTGTATACTGAAAAGAAACGTGATACAAATAGTGTTCTCAATAGTACCGACATGACTAGGACACAACTTTGTTGTATACTGAAAAGAAACATGATACAAATAGTGTTCTTAATAGTACCGACATGATTAGGACAATAGATTATATATGGATGTTTCAATTTTAGTTCACAAAATAATATTTTTAATCATGATCAGAGGCAAGGTGATGCAGGAAATTCATTTGCATGGTTATTTCCATCTTAATGTATAAATCAAAATTGTTTTTGTATATTTAATGTACAATAGTTTACATATTGTAATAGCATTTTGCACAATCAATAGTCACAAATTGAAAGTTACCGCAAAGTGAGGTTACCTTCCACCTGTAATTACAAAAGTGCAACAGGTGATAGAAATATTACATTTGAACTACAACATTAAGATCTCATGCATATTTCATGTCGATTGCTGGTATAAGATTGCTGGTATAAGATTTTTATCATTAATTTTGCAGATTATTTTCCGGAGTAACTAGGTCATTTATTTCCTCATAAGTTATAAAAATTTTAGATGTTGGTAACAAATATTTCTGAAGCTATGGTTGCTATGGTAACCTCAATAACGCTATACAGGGACAGGGTAATATTTGCGACGTTTAGATTATATTTTTCTATTTATTTATTTGCCAACACTTTTATAACAGTGGCACATGGATTATTATCCAGTGCGGCTACATACAACTATACAATATGAATAGAATACAAAGTCATGTATCATTTCTTAGTTTTCTTTTGAAAAAATGATCAAAATTCCATTACAATGTTGCTTAATTATACAAATGGCTGTTTTAATAGTAACTGCTGTTTATGTCCTATTTTCATAAGTGTGATATCATTGTAAATCTTGTATTATACAGAAAATATGAACGCCTCATGATACATTAGACAAGACATGAGACAATTCACCTACGTAAAGCAATGCGTAAAAAATGAACAAACAGAGTCATAGATTCAAACATGTTTGACTCGGACAACACATCATGTCACAAAAGCCGAAAATATATTAAAGATAACTTAATGAGATTTTTCTATACTCCAGTCCGAAATGCAAATTTTTGACATATTTAATATATACGCAAATAATATTTGCATATACGTATAATATTCCAATAGTCCAAATATTTTACGCAGTGTAACATTTGAGGATTATCAGGCAATCCCTACTTATTCCTTACCTTAAACATGCTTTGTCCTTAAATACCTACTTGGAATTATTGTATTTCTAAGTCTATGGCAACTGTTCATATGTGTACAAGGTAAACGATGCTCACTTATTGAGATTTTCTAAGTACATCAAGCATGTGTATTATTTTATTATAATCACTTGATCTGCATCAGTTAACCTGAATGCACACTTTTAATTCAAGTACTTCTTTTAACTTTTGTCAAAAAGGCTATGCATTCAATGTTTACTGCGTTTTATACACTACTTTACTTGTTTAAAACTGTATTAAATCCGGCATTAAACGCACGATGTTTAAGTATATAATTTATAATTGTATGCATTTCCACCAGCGTTGAATGAGTTGAATGAAATAATTTGTTAGATACCGGAGTAGAAAGTTTTATCACTATTCAGGTTTTGAAGAGAACTTGCTTTCGATTAATCACGATCAAATGGCATTTCAGGCCATTGAAATTAATAATAGTTTGATTATAAACTGATTAGTTTAGAGAATACTAGAATTGAAATTGTATTATAACAAGCACGCAGAGCGGACAATATTTGCAAATATACATATATTGCAATACACATACATCATAGGAATCTGAAAAAAACGAACAGATTTATGCATTTGAAATAACATACTTTGATGAATAAATATAAGATGTGAAAGATTCATTCGTTATCAACCAATTCCAGGAAAATAAATCCTCTACAGTAAGATTACAATGGTAATAAACCTTTTAAACAGCATGCGATACACATATAAACTACTCCTAAAAGTCATTTGTTGTTATCTCTCTCCCTTGACTATTGTATTATTCCAAAGCCACATCAGGCATTTGTGATCGTTGAAATGAACATTTGCTATACGGCCAACTAGAGACTCTAAAATTGCAGAGAACTAGTATTTTGCAAATTAGGTAAGCGTCGGCAGAAAGAGTGGAAGACTCTGCTACGTGTTTGAACGAAACTTCATGTACGATTGTCAAGTAACACTAGACCCAATATTAAGTAACTTAACTCTTGAGTATGAATGAAATACCATTATACAAGCAGTCTACAAACTGAATACAACTGGTCTTGTGGTTTTTGATTGTGATAAAATGGATTCCTAAATGTTGGAGTTTCTCATTCTGATACTCAGACCATCTCTGCCTTGCAAAGAAGAATATTGATAGGAGGCTATTATATGTTTCACAACGGGGTCTCTTTGTTCGTAAGATCATAGTTTGGGATATTGGGGCTTGTTTTTTCCTTGGACCTCTATGGGGATAGAGGATAGAGATCAACGGTTTACTTTTTCACCGATCGTGCAATCTTAGATAATTTCATTTTCTTGGTGTGTTTTATGATGCTCTTTTGACACTTTTGACGGTCGATTGAGGATGTAATTCGATGATTTAGAAAATATTACCCTTATTTTTTTCATTTAATTGAAACACTCTTGATTTGGTGAAATGATTGAGTCAGGGTTATGTATTTATTCGTACATGCAATGCGATTGTTAAGTATAACACATTCAAGTACGGCTCCTAACTGAAATATTTAGAGTTCAACTTTGGCTCACGTGTTTATGTTCACAAACAAATGTATACGTGTCAAAGGGAAATGGATTAGATTCCGAGGGGAAAGGCTAATATTGATAAAGTAGAAACAAGTTGACAGTTGAGAGGATAAAAGGATGAACATTGGCTTTTTATTTGTGTCAGAGTGTTTCAAATTAACTTAAGATTTTACACAGGTACAATTACAAGCCAAGAAGTGACCAGAACTATGATGATTTAGGAAACACAAGACCTAGATGTCAGTCAGTGCATTGGTTCTAAAGAACAATTTTGTGTTAAAATGGAATGTGGCACCTTACTATTAAGTGTATTAGTATCTACTGCGGTTTAAGAAGCACACCAACGCACATCTAATATTGAAATCATCTCGAGAATACAAAACATCAATTCTTCATTTCGTGTTACTGAAATCCTATCCCAAATGAATAGAATACAGTCTATGATATAAACCTACTGCTATATAATGCCATAGTTGGATAGTAAGGTAGATCAAGTAGAAAGGGTCATGAATCCAGTCATTGCTGGAATCTAACTTGACATTTTTCTTTTCATGGCAATAAAGGTAATTGTATTGATGACGTTTTGGGCAGACATATCCAAATGTCGCTCGTTATGACTCTAACTACCATTTGCATTCGTTTGACTTAGGTTCCTAAAAGACCGATTTGTTTGTCTACTTTGTATGGTGGGAAGGGGGCATTAGATATTGTGTCTTCTCACGTTATATTGTAGTTTGGGATAGTTGGGGTTTGTTTTCCTTATTTCGTTCATGTAGTTAGATAAGATTTAATGCAAAGCATGCGACTGAATACTCTCATTTTTCGAATACGAGGGTTGATTAAAAAGTATTGTGTAATTTCAAAGAAATACGATTCACGTTGGAATCACCTCTCATATACTGTACAAGAATTAAGATGACCATCAAATCCATTTCACAAAATTGAACTATCAAAATCAACAACCAGTCCTAGTACCTTTTTATTGAAAAATGACAAAGCAATTATATCGTCTAAACAAATGAGGATTTGCATAAATCTGTCTGAGAGCCATAGTCCACGTTATGAATGAAAATTACTTGTTCCATATTATTCAATTTGTATGAGTCCAAATAAGTCAAATCAAATAGGTCAGCCAGTTTCACATATGCTCGATAATATACCAAGGTTGAAGTGCGTATGATGATATGAAGTCACAAATGCTCGAAGCAATTACCATAAGTAAAAAATCTTCAAAAAATCGTAAATAATATACGAGGTGTTTCAATGTAGTATTGTCGTGAAGTGACAAGACAATCGCACACAACAATAGAAGCATTGTTGACTTTATTTCTCATGGGGACAAGCGATGCATTACACTTTAATCGCAGGTTATCTTAACTCTTGATGCTGAGTGCAATCACCCTGAGGACAATATCCAGTAACAACCTGGAAGCCAATACCCTTTGCATTCGTTCAACTTCACTTCTTAAAAAAGAGCTCCGTCTTCAGTAGTTTATAGTTTAACTAGACTCTGCACGCAGGGTAGGAAGCCAAAGATCTTGAATCGAGAATCGGAGTTATAGTTGGCGACACTATCACTCAATTTACAATTAAGAAACCATTTGCTGATTTAAAGAAAAATGAACACATAACATAAAAATCTGATATTCAATCAATACTGTTTCAAATTTCGGAATCTTTGGATAGAATTCAAGAGAGGGTATAGAAGGAACCTAGATGTTGCTATAACTATAGTCCCTTTAAAAAGCAGTTTAATCGTCGCTAAGGAATATAACACGGGGTACCATCGAATAATTTTGGCATTCGAACAATCCCGTATGTTTTTAAATTAGTATATGTGCTTTAAATCATATATATATTTTTTTGATTAAATAATTCAACTGATCTGCTCCGGTTACGTTCCCAGCTCCGGTTACGTTCCTAAGTAATATTTTTAAAACTTTTTTTTTAATTAAACAAATCAGAGTCGTGTGAATCAGAAATAACAGAATTATTCAAAAGTATAAGGACTATTCTGTACTTTTTTCAAAAGTCTATACTTAAATGTTGTGAAAAGTTATAATCGAAAAACCATCTTTCGGAGTAAAGTCAGTCCGCGCCGATTTCAATAACTTCGTACTTGATCAGAACTGGGTTCCAACAGAATTCCTACAAACTCATGAATGAAATAGTTATTGCATGGAATACTTACTTTTGTCAAAATCAAAATAGAACTCTAGTTAAAAAATATATTGTGCTAAATTATTGCCATTTCTTAGTAAAATGTCGTTCTCCGGTACGTTGCCAAAATTATTCGATGGTACCCCGTGTATAAGGATTGCTAAAAACCATTGTTCTTTCTCTCTCACTCCACAATACGATAGTTGTAGCTAATTGAAATTAGATAACATGAACAATACCCCCCTTTTACAGTGAATGATTCGAAATTTGAAATTTGATCATAAATATCTCAAGTTTGGAAAAGCGATAACGCCACTATTAATTTCATCTGCTTTAAGTCATCCTACCCTTTCACGGTGATCCGCTTGATTACGCTGGTGACCGAAAATTCCCACATCTTTTTCACAAACGTATATCAGTATATGTATAAGAAAATGAACATGTTTGCAAACAAATAGTTTAGAAGACAACAGAATCGTCGATTTAATTCCTCACTTAAGTTACGTAAACGGAACTTCAAAAAACAGTTGAGATCTGCACTTTTAACCCGTTCCGTTTACTTAACAATAGTGAGGTATTAAATCGACGATTCTGTTGTTTTCCGCGCTATTTGTTCGCAAACATGTGCATTTTCTAAAACATATGATACTGATGTTTGTGATAAAGATGTCGTGGGGATTCTGCCTACAACGCGTGAAATAAGGAAAAATCGTACCTTCGACGTTCCGAGATTTCGTTACCGAAACGGTTCGGTAACCAGCGTAATCGAACTGGATCACCAGTGCCTTTGGACTGCTTGTCTTTATATCTTTAAATGAATGAATGCCAGTTGCAGCTACACCACTGGCCCCTACCTGGACGTCACGTCTTTATAACAAAATGAACTTCCATCTACCTATTATAGCTGACATTCATATTTTTGAGTTCCAAAGGAATACAATAAATGTTACAAGAGTTCATAAAGATCATATCAAGTTTGACGGTATAAATTGTACCATTATTTGTTTTCTAAGAGGCTTGAATTTTACGGCTAAAATTTGGTTTTCAGGGTAGTCTTTATTGTTTTGTCATTCCCATTTTCCAATACCATTCCTCCCAAGTCAGATTCCGGAACAATTAGTCTGCAACATTGTTTGCATTTGATCAATGAATTATATGTTAACATGCTCGGAAATCATATATTTAGCATTAACTTGTATTTATTATGTCACCACCAAAAGTGGTGACATATTGTTATGGTCTCCGTTTTTTTGCGACGGCGTCCGGCGGTTGGTGGTTGGCGTCCGGCGGTTGGCGTCCGGCGTCTGTAACAATTTCTTACAACTTCCTATAACTTAACAAATACTGTTTAGACTGACTTCAATTTTTTTCTAAATCATCTACATGTTCTCAGAAGTTCAAATCTGACTTTAGATTTGACATTTGACCTTCAATGACCTTCTCAAGGTCAAAAAGGTCTTTTTTCAACTTGCTTCACATTGACTAAATTTTTTTTCAAAATCATCTACATGTT